ACAAGTACTCAGACAGCAAGTGAAGTACCATCTATGGAAACAGCATCGTTCCATTCAGCAATGTCGAAAACTATTCCGGTAAGCTCAGAGCAAACTGCTAATTATTTTCTGTAACATGAAGACTCTATTTATATGCTCACTCGCTTTTGACCATTTAAACAGTCCTCTATTCACTGCTCCAATCGCTATATGTACTTTGTTCAAGATCTGTACACTTTACTTTCAGTTAGAGAAATGCTTGTTATCTGTACGTCCTTTGACCGATGCCTATGGCGAATATCTTAATCACTTCAATGTCGCCAGTAGAGCAAGTAGGTCAAACATTCTTCCGCAAAATTTCCCTTTTGTTTCTGTTATATGTTACTTTTGCGCCTTTGCAGAATGCGAAGCACCTCAGTTCGGAGCACCTGGAGAGATCGCTCAGTGGGTTGATGCGAGGACTTTCAATGTATTTCAGGTATTTAGTTTTTTTTTCGATTTTTTGTAATGCAAATCGAAGTGGAACTCTTATTTTCCCAATTTCCTTTCTGAGAGCATTGGTTTGTTTTTTCTCGAACCCTAGCCTTCGCTCGATCCGACCTAAAAATTGGCGAATTTAAGGCCTTACGCCGGCCTAAATGAGCCTTGTTGACCATTCCTGCTGAGAATGAGTAGTATATTTTCATAATCTCAGATTTTGGGTGAATTGGATTGAGGAATGGTTTTGGGAACAAAAGTGCTTAATTTTCTTCAAACTATTTTGCGAAAGGTCAGGGGGACGCGTTATGAAGTGAACTTCCAGTATATCTGTCACTATTTACCATTTACTGTCCCATCTTCGTCCCGAAGTGGATTCTTCTCAAAATTTGTTTTTGCTGTTGAATTTTGCAAAAAGCTACCTATGGTGGTAGTTAGAGCCGAAGAACACGAATATAGTTGTAAAAGTTTGATGCGGAAGCGCCTGGCGCCCGCACTTAAAGCGCTGCCGCTGAACGGTGCCAAGACAACCTAGATCATCAAAGTTGCTGAAAACTTGCCATAAGGGGTACCTTGACTCAGAGAATACAAATGTCTTACCGTGCCGCGAAATTGTTTGTTGTTAGAACATTCCCCACAGGCGCCGCGCCAAATAGATGTGATAACGCTAGCGCTTCTAGCGCGGGCGCCAAGCGCCCTATCACTGAGTGGGTGTAATCTTCGTGTTCTATGACTCAGATTGCCGGACCTCGGGAGCGGAATTGTTGCTGAATTCATCAACGAAGACAAATTTCGAGAAAAATTTGCCTTTATCTGAGAAGGTGGGGCAGCGAAGGATACATAATGTCGGGCTTCTGTCTCTTTAAAACGAATTTCAGGCACAAGAAGGCATATCCTCAGTTCATCTTCACTCTGTTAGCTGCTACTGCAGTTAAGGGTTCCCAAAAAGCTCAACCGATAATGGAGCCTCTTTCGGGCGAGGCAGTATTTGAACCTCAAGCCATGGATGTTCAACCAAAAACGCAAGACCGAAAATTTGTTATTAATGGCTCAGTTGGAAGCACAATGGAGGTGAGCGTCATTTTTCCAAGGGTAGCTTTGTTTTCTTTATATTTGCAGAAAGTTTTCGTTTTGTACATTTGATTCGAGGATTGGCTTGATGGGGGAGTTCAATATTCTGTGTTAGTGTGTAAAATTAAAGATAAAGAGGGGTCTGTTCCAGTTGCGGAGCTTTATGATGCAGTTTTCCCAGAAAGCTACGGTAACTCTGAGCCAGGGGAGTGTAGGCAGTCTAGTGGAGTGGGGGGGGGGTGGAAGGCGAGTTAATTGACAGTGCGTAAAAGGGGTTTAATCTTCGAGTTACAATAGTTCGCAGAAAACGTGCTGCAATAGACCCATAAAGAGTGATCTCTTTATCTCTGAGTATGGTCTAGTATTTTGTCGGATGTGATTGATACCAGGATCAACAGGAATGTTCAAATAGACCTCATCTCGTAAGGTGAGAGAGCGAGGGAATAGGGTAGCCGTCCACACAACTTCAGGAGAATTGTTTCTATGTCAAGGATAACTGTATTGTATATCTTATGCATTTCTAACTCAGTCTTTGACAAAATTTTCTTATAGGTAGACATTGTATAGATCTCGGCTTTTAGATCTTCTTCACTCCACTTGCTATTGAAGCACTAGATCGCTTGCTTGCCGATGTATCTAGATGTGTTGCGTTAATTCATCCTTCGATGCTGGTACAGACGTGTTACCGAGAATGTGTCAATAAGCAGCACCGCCAACCTTTGACTGAATCACTTTTCACGACAAGTATGTTGAATACGGAAGTCTATTCGAATCTTTCTTTTGACATGAACACCGAAAAGAGCTGGCTAGAGCTGGCAGCTGGGAAAAGGGTGTGTGTGGGCAGCCAGCTTATCAAGGGCTGCAAGGAAGATTTAAAAAGTTGATATCGTTAGCTCTATAGAAATGAAAAGCTCAGCCAGCAGTGATTCAGCTGCTGTAGTCCAAAATAACAATCCTACTTACTACACAAAAAGCACTTCGTCCGTCGTTCTGTCACGATGTCTGTCATGAAATTCCCTACTTCTCGTAGGTCTGAATGGAAAGGCTGGGTCATTCGGGGGTTGGGTGGGTCCTGTCTTGAGAAGTACAAAACAAACACTGGCCGGTAGTCCTGCCCACAGTGGGCGTGGTGCGCATCGAAATGAGCATTATTGACGGCGAGAATTCCAAATTCAATTCCAAAACCCTAGAGACCGGAGAAAATGGGTAGAGATTCGCATTAACGGGTTAGATCGAGTTTGGGAGACTCACCTTCGGTTGGCGGGGCATTTCCTATTCAGAAAAAGTGGGCCACAATGGGCGGAGCGTGTCTTGATGTGGACAGCGTTTCCTAGAAGTCCTTATAATTTGGCTCCGAGAATTCTGAGAAAGCGGAGAAAAGGTGGATAAATTCAGAGGAGGCAAGGCTTGACGTTAATTGTGGGCGTGGCGTGCACTAAAGTAGGCGGGAGTTGTTGCCCATCTTACAATTCGCTTCCAAGAAGCTTCGGTTCGGGAACGAGGCAGAGGTCGGCATAGGAAAGTAGAGCAACTGCTATTTGTGATCGGGGCACGTGCCAAAGTGGGCAGAGTTTCCACCAAACTTATGAATCGGTTGAGAGGCACCAGAGACAGGGAAAAGCCGACAATGGTCAACGGAGGAGGGATGGTCAGTTGCCATCAGTGGGTGAGACCTCCAACTGCTGGGCGGAGCCAAAATTCAAAATCGCGAAATGGACCAGAGAGATAACAGAAGCCGAGAAGAAAGCGGGCAGAATCTAGCTCAAAGGGCAAACGTATATATACATGGCGTATCGGGCTATATTTGAGATTTTCCCCTCACCGTTCCTTATCGCCGCTGAATTGTTTCGTGCGCGCAACAGCGTGCGGACCGCATTACAAGTTTGGGCGGTTGTGCGCAAAAGTTTCCCTTTGATTTCGATGTTCAGCCAGTATTTTTTTTACAACAACCACAAAATCAGAAATCGGTAGAATCTTTACACGGGAACTCTTGACTTGTCCTGCCTCTATTACTATCCACTGTAGTGTACGTATAGCAGGCAAGTAATGCAGGCCAACTCGTTCATTCTTTCTTATAGGGTCGTGGGCAGCATATCCGTCTCAAAGGCCCCTTTGACCGTTGCGTGACCTTTCAAATTCACAACACCCACCTATCACCAAACATAATGCGTTACAGAAGTTTTGTAAATCTGAATTTGCATATGGTTTTATTTTAAGGTCTTGTATCAATAGTTTTTACAATGATTTTTCTACCCTAACTCGAGTCCTTTCAGCTGAATCTTCTCCTTTCAGCTGAATCCTCGCCGTTACTCAGTGTGTCGCTGGATCTTCCACGTGTACATATAGCGATGTTCGAGTGCAGTATCCTTCCCAGTGAGGGCACTGAAGTAAAACCGCCGCAAACATCGCCAGACTGATACTTCCTACAAAGAGCTTCAGTGGTCTCTGTTACCCAAACAGATCTTTGTAGTCGCAAGCTGAGTGTTCAGATTGATTACCTATGAATTACCTTTTTGATTACCTATGAATTCGTGTTCTCTATTGACGCATCCGATCTGACGTTAAACGCAGCCGGCTTGCAACATGGACGACTTTGTTTGTGATCTGTCGCAAAGCTTCACCTTCGTTTTAAGCGACATATGTACTACTATAGAGCTGCGCTGAAGCGTGCTGCGATTGAGATAGTACTTCTCTTGACGACCATGTTACGTGGAGCCTTTAATCTCACTCAGTTTGCTAGTTATTTATGGGCGAGCATGGACACATCAATCCAGCTCTGTTTCATTGAAAAAAAATATTAAAGCAACAGTCCCAGCACTTCGGCACTAATGGTGGAACGGTGCGCTAGCCCTAGTCAAGAACATAAGAAGTGTGACTGAACAAAAAACTCACCTTGGAAAGCCGCTAAAGGGAGCTGAACGGCTTCGAAGTGGGCGTGGTTTCGGCTGCAATCCCCTCGGCCGATCCAACCACGCCCACTTCGAAGCCGTTCAGCTCCCTTTCTAGCGGCTTTCCAAGGTGAGTTTTTTGTTCAGTCACACTTCTTATGTTCTTGACTAGGGCTAGCGCATCGTTCCACACCATTAGTGTCGAAGGTAAAAACCCTGCTGGGACTGTTGCTTCAATTAAGAAAGCTGGTCATTGGGGATAGCTCGTCAACACTTTTGACTCCACTCGCACGCGCTGCTGCAAATCTACTCGGCTTTGAAAATGCTGCCAAATCCTTGCATTTTTGTTTTACAGACTGAAGGGAGGAGTGACGATCAATCTCAACTCATCGGTACTGTCTGCGCAATTCCTGCATTTTACACCGCGGCTGCTGACAGATTTCGCAGGAAATCGGGTCAATTTCAAGGCATCAGTGAGTAATTCTTTCGTGTGTGTGGTTATAACTGACTATTCTGATTTGTGCCAGGTGGATTGGGAGAAATCACCTCTAGCGGCACGTATGCTGGATATTGAACCACGAGTTGTTGTCGATTTTCAAGTGCCCGACGTTGAAGTCTCACTGGAAGCGTCGTGACTCGCAAGTGAAACCGCTGTGAGTGATGCTATATTATTCTTTGTAATGAGAAGATCGATCGATTTTTGGAAGATCGCTTAACCCTTAGACAACGATTTTTCAAAACCATGTTATCGATGTGTTTTGTGTAGTAACTATCGCTCCCAGCAACAACCAATCATCTG